CGTGATCCGCCCACCTCGGCCTCCCAAGGTGTTGGGATTATAGGCGTGAGCCACCGCCGATAGCTGGGAAGCACTGATCTTTAAAGCATCTTTAGAAAAATCTAATTTCTCCTTCTGGGAGATTGGGGTTCTTTTAGTTAGCCTTTCTTACAAATACCCATTTCAAATCGAACCTATTGGTAGCACTATTTTCTATGCTGTAGCAAGTACAGTGCAGCTGACTGGCTAATTATACTGCCTCTGTGTTAAGGCGTTCCAACAGAAGACCACAGAACAGAGAGTTATCAAAAAGCAGCCTTGTCACGGCGGTTGGGTATTTTATTAATTGCAAAAACAGAGTTCTCTTTTACAAGTGGCCCTGTGTTTAAGCACTTGTCGGATTAGGCAGGAGGAAACATCTCCCACTTCTGAGGCTGTTTCCATGCCTAATTAAAGGTTCGAGGATGTCCCCAACACATGTGGATAGCGGGGTGCTATCAGCAGATGGACGTATCTATATAACTGGCAACCTATGGATTGAACACCCAATTTGCTAATGTTAAAATAGTTGGCATTGTAGATTAAAGTCTGTTATTGTTTAAATCTTAGCCAGACTTTTAAGAACTTCGGAGAGATAATCCTTCTGGCACTTCAGGACCCACCTGGGGAGCACCAGCTAGGCTCCTGGAGCCGTGTGGGCTCCGTGTGTCTTTTCCCTCGTATTATTAAATCGTATTTGCTTGAAAAAGCAGAGCCCTAGAAAGGACAGGCTGGAAGACCTGCAGCTGCCTGGGATCCTTGTGAAATGACAAATGAAATCCGAGGGAAGAGAAGACATCTCGGTGGCAGAAAGATGGAGGATTTCAATGGGTTAGAGAAAGAAAACCAATTCGTCAGTCCCCCAGTATATCCGACTACAGAGAGCATCATTGGAAAGTGCGGGTGGAAAGAATTCAATGGACTCAAGACAAAAAGATTCTGCCCAATAAGCCTTCTGCTTATGGGAAATGCCCTCTCCCCAAGTGGACTGTCACCAAACACCCTGGCACATGTCTCAAAGATCAAGGACCCACGGCCAAGTGTTCAGGGTAAAACCACCCACAGCTCCAAACAGCTCAGCTCAGAGCTGGGAGCTTGGCGCCTCCTCTCCCAAACAGCAGCCTAATTCAAGGTCCCATCATGCATCGCAGGGTCCCCCATAAGAGAGGAAAGAGCAGAGGGGGACAAGAAGAAAGAAAGAGAGCCTCCCCTTGGTAAGTGAAGGTGAATCCTTTGAGTAGCCAGGACTGCGGGGTCAAGGCTCCCCATGGTGAGAGCATCAGGTCACCAATTTGCCAAATCTCATTCATAAAAACATTTTCCCAATAACTGTACTCCTTTAGGTGATACTTGAGACTATAGATTAGGAAAAAGAAAAAGCCCTCAGAAAGTATCTCATTCAATTAACCTTATTCCTTTGGGGTAGGAGGAAACCCTGCTTTGGGGAAGTCAAGTGCTTTCTGCATGTGGATTTGATATCAGCGAAATCTGCACTCCTGGCAACCAGGAGTTAAGATAATTAAAATCAGAAGTCTTGTTACTAGAGGATATGTTTTGATTATTAGATCAGATGAAGATAAGGTAGCAACGATTTGGGAAGAAGTATTGCCGAATTGTTTCATTAACTGCACAGTATTAAACAATTCCCCCAAGATACGGATAACGAACATTAATTTGCAAAACCGCGCTTCCTTTTTTTGTGAAGGCAAACATTGAAATCTTAACTGATTTGGAAGAAATTGTTCTATAATAAAAAATGTGAGGTCTATAGCCTTGCTCTCTTGTAGCCAGCGTGTATCTGAGTCACGCCCTTTTAACTCGACAATGGAGAGAAAGGGAAATTATCTCATAATGATGCCGTTGCTGAGGTCAGAAATTGCTATAACATGAGAAAATGAGATTAAATCTAGAAATAAAAACCGAATCCTGGTACTCACTGGGCAAGCTGATGAGAGAGGAAGAAATGGTGGCGACGAAATAAATGACCTGGCTTGCAGTGGCTCACGCCTGTAATCCCAGCACTTTGGGAGGCTGAGGCGGGTGGATCACCTAAGGTTGGGAGTTTGAGACCAGCCTGACCAACACGGAGAAACCCCATGTTTACTAAAAATACAAAATTAGCCAGGCATGGTGGTACATGCCTGTAATCCCAGCTACTTGGGGGGCTGAGGCAGGAGAATCACTTGCACCCGGGAGGCGGAGGTTGCAGTGAGCCGAGATCGTACCACTGCACTCCAGTCTAAGAGACAGAGCAAGACTCCGTCTCAAAAATAAATAAATACATGACCTGGATGAGGACAGATGGAACCAGATTCCAGCCATCTCCCCATAGTCAGCAGGACTGTCTCCTCAGAGGGACCCAGCTCTGAGCAGTTTCTCACTGAGTGGGTGAAATTCACCCCAAAGAGGCAGAAGGGAGGAGTGAGGGTGGGTCGTGTGAGCCATCAGCATCAGCAACAGATCTGCTGGAAAGAGAATGCCTCTTAGCTTAGAAGGTCGGATGTGACTTCCACGGACCTGGGGTTTTATTTGGCTTGAGCACTAGAAGTGCCCGAGTCCCAGTGCACCAGGTAAACCTGCGGGGGTATCCTCAGAAAGCCGGGATGCCCAGCAAGACTCAGAGTGGGGTGCAGCGGCTCATGCCTGCAATCCCAGCGCTTTGGGAGGCTGAGGCGGGCGGATCACTTGACGTTAGAAGTTCAGATCAGCTTAGGCAACATGGTGAAATCGTGTCTCTATCAAAAATACAAAAATTAGCCTGTCGTGGTGGAATGTGCCTGTAGTCCCAGCTACGCAGGAGGCTTAGATGAGAGGCTGGTTGCAACCTGGGAGGCAGAGGTTGTAGCGAGCCGAGGCTACGCCACTGCACTCCAGTCTGAGCGACAAGAGTGAAAATGTGTCAAACAGAAAGAAAGCAAGCAAAACTCAAAACGGACCTAACTACATTCTAGGACTACTTCATACCAGAAAAAGTTTTCTTTAAATTTTCACAATGAACGCTGATGCACTTTATTCATACAATGTATATACCTTACAGTCAGTCAGTTACTCACTCGCCCACCCAACATGGAAGGACGGGGTTGGGGAAGGAATGGACCTGAATGGGCTGCCCTCGGACAGAGCGGGGAACCCCCAGCCTGGGGCTGAGGCCTTGCCCTAAAGGTCCTGCCTTCTACGGTGTCAAGACAGGACTCCGAGAGTCTCCCCTGGCTGTGAAGCCTGTGAATTGAGGGTCCCAGGACCCTCTTCAAATTACATTTGCTTCAACAGAGCATAAATACCTAAAGTGAAATCATTACTTTTTTTTTTTTTACTTTCTTCCCCTTGATAATGCAGTAAAATCATTACTTTTTAATATGTGGAAAGGTTCTGGGTTCTGAGTCTGGGATACAAATTTATGCAGAAGCCCAAGAGTACCTGGTGGGAGGGAGCCTGAGTGTCTGGCTCCCTGGACTGAAGTGGCACTGGGTTTGGGGCCACTGAGGGAAAACATGCTTGTTGCCTTAGAAGGTCAGATGTGGCTTCCACAGACCTCTGGGGTTTCAACTGGCTTACTCACGGCTGGAGCTCTAGCGCACCAGGTCCTCCTGCAGGGGTATACTCAGAAAGCCGGGCTGCCCTGCAAAGCCCAGTTAAAGAGTCGGGCGCAGCGACTCATGCCTGTCATCCCAGCACTTTGGGAGGCTGAGGCAGGTGGGTCACTTGAGGTCAGCAGTTCGAGACCAGCTTGGGCATCATGGTGAAATCCTGTCTCTACCAAAAAACCAAAAATGAGCCGGGTGCAATGGTATGTGCCTGTAGTCCCAGCTACTCAGAAGGCTGAGGTGAAAGGATTGCTTGGGCCTGGGAGGCGGACGTTGCAGTGAGTAGAGATCGCACCACTGCACTCCAGTCGGGGCGACAGAGTGAGACCCTGTCTCAGAAAAAATCCAAAACAAAAGCCGAAACAAAAATTGGGTAAAAGGACTACCTGTGTAGATGACCTCTGACGAACACTCTGAACCTCACGTAAGAAAGTCCACATAATGTCCAGGCTGAGGACCAGATTCCCAGTCTTGGGAGATCTCAGGTAGTGATGCAGTACACTGGACAGACTCTACCAGATGGGCCTTTCCACTGACTGCCAGGAGACACGTGTGCTTCACACAGGCATGGCCCGTCAAGGGGGAAATGCTGGCCGGGTGCAGTGGCTCACGCCTGTAATCTAGCAATTTGGGAGACTAAGGTGAGTGGATCATTTGAGGCCAAGACTTTGAGACCGGCCTGGGCAACATGGTGAAATCCCATCACCACTAAAAATAAAAGGCCGGGGGTGGTGGCTCACACCTGCAATCCCAGCACTTTGGGAGGCTGAGGTGGGTGGATCACCTGAGGTCAGGAGTTCAAGACTAGTCTGACCAATGTGGTGAAACCCTGTCTCTACTAAAAATACAAATACTAGCTGGGCGTGGTGGCCCATGCCTGGAGTCTCAGCTACTTGGGAGGCTGAGGCAGGAGAATCGCTTGAACCCGGGAGGTGGATGGAGGTTACTGTGAGCCAAGATCGCACCATTGCACTCCAGCTTGGGCGACAAGAGTAAAACTCCGTCTCAAAACAAACAAACAAAAAATTAACCAGGTGTTGTGGTGCACGCCTGTGATTCCAGCTATGTGGCAGGCTGAGGCAGGAGAATCGCTTGAATCTGGGAGGCGGAGGCTGCAGTGAGTGGAGTTCGCACCACTACACTCCAGCCTGGGCGACAGAGTGGGATTCCGTCTCAAAAAAAAAAAAAGAGGGAAATTCGGTCTACACCAGGGCTGATGGCAGGGTTCAATATCCAGTCTCCCTGCCGTGGACTCCAGGACTCTGCTTGGAGCTACTTTACAAGAGGTTCAAGTCCAGGAAGGCAGAGGGTGTGTGCGTGTGCGTGTGCGTGTGCGTGTGCGTGTCCAGCCACCCGTCCTGCTCCCTCGGGCCACCCCCAGCCCCGAGGCACCCTTACTTTGAGTGTGCTGTTCTTGGCGCTCAGTTGCTGCTCGAGCTGTGAGATCTGGCTGGCCGAGTTCTCCCGCAGTTTGGTGAGGCCGGCCTGGAGTCTCTGCACGTCCTCCACCAGCTGTGCGATCTCCCGCTCCTTGGCGGCCAACTCAACTTCTAGGCTGGAGCGGGTCAGCACCTCTATGGCCTGCTCCTGGGGAGGAGAAATGAGATGACAGAACTGCACTGGCCATAAGGCAGAAGCGGCACAGACCTCAGGGTGTGGATGGTGATGGCATGATGCCGCTTCTGGCCTTTGCTTGGACTTCCCCATGCCACCTTCCACCCCCCCGTGGTTAGCTGCCACCTGGATTCATTCACTGGACAAGTATGTACTGGGTGCCCACCATGTACAAAGTACATAGCAGTGAATCAAAGGACAAAAGTCCAGGATTACACACCTGTAATCCCAGCACTTTGGGAGGCCAAGGTGGGTGGATCACCTGACGTCAGGAGTTCGAGATCAGCCTGGACAACATGGCGAAACCCATCTCTATTAAAACGCAAAAAATTAGCTGGGCTAATTACAGGCATGTGGTAATGCACACCTGTAATCCCAGCTACTCGGGAGGCTGAGGCAGGAGAATCGCTAGGACCCAAGAGGTGGAGGTTGCAGTGAGCCGAGATCGCACCACTGCAGCCTGGGCAAGAGTT